CTCCCGCACCTAGAGGAACCCAGGAGGAAAGGGCTGCTTCTCTCTGGACTTCTTGCTCTGCTGTGATTTCCAGGGGGAGCAGGCAGCGAGGCCAGGACCTGCGGTGCTGAGACCTACTCAGCCAGTGGAGAGCCTAGTTGTCCCCCTCTCCTTGTCCAGACTATCCTCCCCAACGCCCACCTTTCCCCGACTCCTTCCGTCTGCTGCTACTCAGCTCTTCCGCTCTAAGCCCTGTTTGGAGACTGTCTTCATTAGTATTCGCAGGACATTTTGTGACATCAAGATAGAAAGCCACAAAGATGAGTCCTTGGTTTTGTGTGTGTGTGTGTGTGTGTGTACTCCTCACCTTCCAAATTCTTGTTGAAATCTCAAAGGTGTATTAAAGGCTGGGACTTGCAGTAGTTAAGGAGGGGTTAAGAAACTTGTCGAATACTCACCTGGACCACACGCAGCCCCCTTTCTCAAAGCTGCCTCTGAGTTTCTGCCCTTTCAGACCTCCCCAAGAGGGCAGTAACCCCCAGGGAAATGACATATAAGCTGCATGGATGCAGTTTTTCATGGGGTGTCCAGAGCTGCCAGAGATTTTCAAAGGATTAACTATTAACTACCGTCCTCTTCAGAAGAGGTGCTTTCTGCATTTGTGTCTGGATGTGTGACCCATTTCTGAAAGCCTGGGGTTGGGAGTCATGGTGGCCTGGCTAGTGAGGACTTGGTTTGGCTCCTCTATACAATGACAGCCTCCCTTGCGGGCAGAGGCTGTGGGCGTGACTTGCAGCAGCAGCTGGGGGTGGATGGGAGTTGGGAGGTGCAGGGACTGTGCTTTGCAGGTGGGTGTAAAATAACATGATGGGTGGAGGTCCATGTTGGGTGCCACATGTCTGGATCTTTCTATGTGGCATCTCTGTGTGCCCCAGTAGTAGCTGGAGGCCTACTTGCATTTGCCTGAAGTTGATGTTCAGTGAGCCCTCTCTTACTATCTTGAAGACCTTAAGCTCCTCAGAATGGAGGGGCCTGGACTATATACACTATTATGTTTGGAAGCCTATTGCCTCTTCAGACTTCCGGAGTTTGGACTCTCCCCGGGCCCCCACCCTTCCAAACAACCTGAATAATGTGGGGCTGAGTTTTTGGTTTAGCTCTTAACCCAAAGTGACCTTGTTCCCTGGTGTCCTGCCTGATGGGAATGCATATGACTATTGCTGGAGAATGTCTTTATTTCCTCCTCATTTAAAGTTCTATCTGTGCCATGCCCAGGGGTGGATCATTTCAGAAAGGTGCCTGTTTTCATAAAAGGTACTGTAGATTTTCTCTCTGGCTAGTTTATTTCCAGACATGGATTGATTAGACCCCAGGAGCAGAGGGGGAGCTAGCATCAGATAAAAAGGGCTCTGTTCTTATGAGTTTTTTTTTTTTTTTAAGTGAAAGTAAACATCAAGAGAGTCAGAGAGGGTGATAAATGAGAGTAAATGAAGACTGGACACTGGGCTCTAGATCGACGAACTATATTTATAAACATTCTGGTTTGAAAGATGGACATGGGCACAAGGTCTGTGCTGATAAGTTGGGTTGGAGCTGCATGCTCTGGTACATGCATCAGGAAACAATCTGTCACACAAGCCAACTATTTCTCCTCACTTTGCGATTTTGGAACCTTAGAGGAGGCAATGTGCTATAAAGGGGAGACCCAGAGAACATGGGGTTTGACAGTATAGCTCAGCTGTCAGCTGTCTGACTCTGGGCAAGTCACTCCAGCTCCTTCCTGGACCTTATTTTTCCTTCTGTGAAATGGGGTGAGGGAGGGGACAATAGGCTGGCCACATACACTCTTGCTTCCAGACCTAGCCTCTAAGTAGACTGCCAGTCTTCTCTCTTAGCAGATGAGCTTTCCCCAGCTCAATATTCAACATGTCTTAGTTCCATGAAGTCAGGGACAGAAGAGTGTTGCTGTTGATGGTGGTAGTGTTTATGTTGTATCCCTAACAGCTAGCTGAGAGTAGATATTTATAGATTTGATTAAGTTAATTATTCCTGTCACCCATAACTTGAGGTTAAAGGTGCGATTGAACAGTGACAGATCCACAGCTTGGGATCATGAAGAGTAAAGGGTTGGCGAAAATGTAAAACGGCTTGCTAGCTGTCTTTCCTTTCAGATCTGATGATAATCTAGGAAATTATTGTTAAAATTAGTATAGAGACCTCAGCTATAGGTGGGTTTCTGATGAATTTAAGTTCAACAGACTCTTCTTCTCACTCATGACAAGAATTGGGGTTATATAGCTTGTCAGGGTTACATCCCAATGAAGGGATTCAAACTCTCTTGGCCCCTATTAATGAGGATTGGTTGCTGATCTGGGGAGCCTCAGTTGTCCCTTCCAGTGAAGGGGGCTTTTGTTAAAGGGAATTGAGCAGCCTGGGACAGTGAGTATTGGAGTGGGGCTGCCCTTAGCCCTATGAAGAATATGGGTTAAATTTCAGCCTTGTTCCCATCCCCTCTACCCTTACACACCACTGTATGTGGCAGTCCCACTAAGAATCCAATCTGTGTTCATGCTCTAGCCACACTATCACCCCAACCTAAGAGGAAAATCCCTATTTATCACTGTGCCTCAGTTTTCTTGGTAAAATGAACAGACTGGCATTTAGAGGATTCTATCTCTCCATCACTCCCACCTGTTTACTGTTTTGTTTATGGATCTGCCCAAGCACCTAGAGTAGGGTATGGTACCTAGTTGGCTCAGATACTTGAATGAGTGGCTACAGCAAAAATCTATAAACTAGCAGTTAAGGTTACTGGTGGCAGAGGCTGGCTCTTCTTCCTAAGGTTCTTGATTCTGAGACTCAGAGTAGGGGGCCACAGACAGATTTGGGGGCTTCTAAAAGACTCAAGAGATCTTATAGAAGTGCAGTAATTTTCCAAGTCCAAGTTTAACTCGAAGGGAGTGGGGAGGGGGCAGCCATGAGTGAAATCTTTCATGCCTGGATAGCAGGCATCTGCGGGATGCCCGAGTCTCCCTGGAATGCCTGCAACTTGGCAGGGAGCGCCCAGGCTCTTGCTGTCCGTGCCTGCTGCGTTAAGCCTCCAGGATATTGCTGGTTATGATATGTGGCTATGTCTGAGTAAGTCATCTTGGCAAATGATCTTTGCTCCCCATTAATGGGCTGGTTCGTTAGTCATGTGTGGTTTCTCTGTATGTCTGATTTATCACCGCCAGTGTCAGGGACAGGTAGGAAAATTAAAAGGCTTTGTGTTCTTTGTAGCATGTGAATCTGAGCCTGTGAGATGTTAGGATAATTAATACGAGGAACGCCTCAGATTTAAATAGCTTTCCTTTGAAGAGCTCTGTTTAAAGTGCAGATCCATCGAATGCTGGATGGATCCCTCCCCTGTCCTTCAGTTTCACTCTTGTCCTGCTCTATGATACAGTTAATATACATAGGAAGAGTGGCCTATAATAACTGGAAAGGTCCCTTGGGAGACCCTTGCATCCTAAGCTCATTCACATACCTCATCCTTCCTCCTTAGAGCTGAGTACTGCAAGGAAAGCTTAGAATCGTCCCCGCCAGGTGTACAACTTAACACCTGCAGGCTGGGTGGATCTCACTTTCATTTTGAGTTGCACCATTCCTTGGGGGAATTAGGAGCAGACATTCCAGGAGCAATTGCTTCTTGGGCCTCAGATCCCTAACTTTCCTTAGTGTTTGGTTTAGAAACAAGTAATACAATGACTTTTAAAAGTCAGCTGCTTATTTCACATTGTAGTTAGCAGGGGGGTAAGAATATAGATCCCCCTGCAGTTTTCAGAGTGACTGATTTACATCCAAGCTCAAGAAATGCCTTTTCTCTAGCTTTCCCCGAAGACTGATCCATTACTCCACCAAAAATAAATATTGTGATAGGTATCAGGCATACTTTGCTCAAAGGGACTTATATCTTTTCTCTTATTGAAAAAAAATAAATAAATCAGGCATGCAGATTGGAAGGCCCTGTGTAGGGAAGCTGTTTGGTAATCTAGGTGGGCACCCAGCCTTGAGGTAGTGCCTCTGGCCGGGGGAAG